TAAGTGATCAATATTTCAGATAAATCTGGATACCCCAATTAGCAATTTTATAAATGTTTCTCACATCAATATAGTTCCTTTGAAAAAAAGTTAATGACCAAATAAGAAATATGTCTTCATTTCTTAAGTGATCAATATTTCAGATAAATCTGGATACCCCAATTAGCAATTTTATAAATGTTTCTCACATCAATATAGTTCCTAAGTGATCAATATTTCAGATAAATCTGGATACCCCAATTAGCAATTTTATAAATGTTTCTCACATCAATATAGTTCCTAAGTGATCAATATTTCAGATAAATCTGGATACCCCAATTAGCAATTTTATAAATGTTTCTCACATCAATATAGTTCCTTTGAAAAAAAGTTAATGACCAAATAAGAAATATGTCTTCATTTCTTTTAATCCTGATAGAAATGAAAAAAAATTATTGGTTCGAAGAGTAAGGACATATATAGAAAAATCATGAAGCAAACCGATAAATGCTCACCTTTAAATCCTAGCTAGTTATCTTCAATCTGTTGTTTAGAGAGAGAGACGACAAAAGGATGAAGAGATAGAAGAATTTTGGTAGTAGAGCACTTAGGGGGTCTTGTGCTAGAAGAGAAAGCGGAGAAAAGAGAATGTTGGGGTATAAAAAGGGGAGGCCGGCCCCCTACGCCCTCTCAATTGCGCGTGGGTTGAAAGAATGAAGGGCTTGCCACCCTAGTGGATGACGTCAAAACCCCTTTCCTTCTATTTAGTAAGTATTCACTGTTTAGTGAGTAGTGCTCACTCGACAGAAGGTGTTCCAAGTTTAAACAATGAAAATCGTTGGACCGGTGTACAATATGAAGATATAATGATAAGCATATTAAAGAACTTTGTCACCGTATCAAAACTTTAAAGTTGTAGTGACGATTAAGGATTATAATCTGATGTTATAGTGATAATTAAGGATTATAATTTTATAATTTAACATGTTTCTCCGCATGTCAAATGTCATTTTCTTAGGCCAAAACCTAGACTCACAATATGGCGTCAGTATTTTTAGAATCCGATTCAAATTCGTGGTGGGTAAAAGTCGGACTTGAGTTGCTCTGCTACTATGACAAAAAAATCCTATCACTAAATCAAAACTCAGAAGTTATCATGAATATTGAGAATTTAAGTTTATACTCTTAGGAAGGATACTCTTCTTTTTTCCACTACCGTGCATATAATGGAATCCAATTCAAATTCATAGCGGGCAAGAGTCGGACTTGAGTTGCCTTGTACCATGTAAAAAAAAACTCTATCACTACACCAAAATTTGGAAGTAATAATGAAGATTGAGAATTATAGTTTTATACTCTAAGGAAACATACGTTTTTTTAACTATCCTGCATACAGTGGAATCCAATTCAAAATCATTGCATGTAAGGCTTAGACTTGAGTTAGCTCTGCTTCAAAAAATCATGTCACCACACCAAAACTTAAAAGTTATATATAATGAAAATTGAGGAATATAATTTTATTTGAAAACAAAGCATACTCTTATTTTTTTTACTACC